TACAAACCTCACGCCATTGTTTTGATTTTCAAGGGGCGAAAATGTGATACCTTTAGCCCTTAGCCCTTAGCCCTCCAGTGTTAAAAGATGTGGCACGTGCGAGGTGAGACTTGCACAGCTATTTTGGGTAAAAAGTTTAAACTTTTAGATGCCTGGAGTTTGGCTGAGTGAGCCAGGTCATGTGAGAAGCCGCGCCTGAGAATTACCTGTGTTCACCTTTGGCGAAAACAGAAAAGCATAGAAACGCTGAGAAATGAAGGGGGGGGTGGAAAACCAAAAAAAAGAGTTCACTTTTTCCCTCTTGTAAACTCAGCAACTCAGACTACCACCACACCCGCTGCTACTGCACCACCACTACCACTAGTACACCTAGGAATTTCTGCTCTTGCTTTTAAATCCAATTGACACGAGTTCCGCTGAAGGGTCAGAAACGAGTCAGAAACCAGTCAGGAACCAGTCAGAAACCCGTCAGAAACCGGTCAAACGCAACCATCTGTTTCCCCCTCCCTCCCTCTCTCCCTCTCTTTCTCTCTTTCCCTCCCTCTCCCTTTCTTCCCTTGCCCTGCTACTAGAACCCCTTCTCCTATTCCTACTCCTACTCCTACTCTTACCCCTCCTACTACTACTACTACTACTACTACTACGACTACTACGACTACTACGACTAGTACTACTAGTACTACTAGTACTACTAGTACTACTGCTGCTGGTACTACTGTGAGTTTTCCGGACCGTTTCCGGACCGCGCGAGCTTATTTTGTTCCCAAATTTGAAATCGAATGCGTTCAGGCATGGATCCTCATTATATAATACATAACTTATATTTTATGTATATGATCTGATCAACGAAGAACAAACCCTTCCGCGATTGCTCACTGTGGTACCGCGGTTGCTACGCGATTGGCTGAGCGATTGAGGGCTGTCCGGGAAAAGGTATTTTGGACAACCCCCATATATAAATAAAATGGGGAGGGATATGGACCGAGTAAGAGCATTTTTTCATACACAGGTGTGAGTTTGAGATCAATTATAGATCCTTATACCATGTTCCTTGTCGTGTGGTTTCGGTTCAAACTACACTGACTTAGGGCCCTTGAGCTGGTTGCCGGAGAGTTCACTCCCGACAGCCGGACTCTCACGGTGATAGGCTAGGTCCGAAACTCGTGTGTGTTTGTTGTGTGTGTAAGTGTGTAACGCCGAAACATCCGGAAGGATTGTTAAAATCCCATCGAACACATCCCCCTGGAATTTCCTCTGCAGAATCAGGAACGTTAAGTCCTGGAAAATGGTGCGCTTTAACTTTAACCCCCTGCTTTGTTTAGGGGTACCTACCCAGTGTCAACGCTTTCAATTTTATAGAGGACCTTGGGGTCTCTGATTCTATAGAGATGTCATGTTGAATACAGGACCGAGTACTACTCAGCAGAGAGTCATAGAGAGTCTTAGGGACTGCGATTTTATAGTGGGATATGTATGGATATGTTCTCTTTGGATGTATGTCATGTTCTTCAATTCTATAGAGAAGTATTGGCAGATACCACAGCAGCGAGGATTAAAAGAAAGGAAGCGGATGGAAACAAATGGAAACAAAATGAAACCGAGCAACTGCCAAGATCTTTCAAGCATTTTTCAGAAATCTATAAAATCGAAGAGGTTGACATCGAACACTTGGAGCCTTTGAGCTCTATAAATTTGGAAATGCATAAGGTAAGCTAGGCAAGAGCAACTGGAGCATTCAGGTCAGCTGTCAATGAATGATATTTGGGGAATCTGATTTTATAGAAGGCCGACTAAGCCCCCCAACCTAAAAAAGGCTCTACGAGCCTGACTTGGTGTCAGTAATTCTATAGAAAATGATGTTCATAAACGACTTCAGTGAAAGGAATTCTACAGAGATTGTCAACTTGAAAATACCTTGGGGTCTCTGATTCTATAAATGCATTTTCAAAAAGAGGGCCAGCGTCTCCAGAATTATCACTATAAAATTGTCAACACCAACGCTCTCACTTAATTCAAAGGGGGATTCGAACACCATGTCGATGGCCGGCCAGAGGTACTGCCCGAGCAGTCCTGCAGGACCGTTGGAAACGAAAAGTGGAGCACGTGTATAGTATAGTGGAACTCTGCAAGCAGAAGATGTAACAGAAGGCCACGGACAAGGCCAAGGAAGCATCCAGTTCCCCGGTCACTAGCCCTGCAAGCAGTGGCCGGGGGAGACGTCAGCCGACAGAAGCGGCAGGACAAGGAGATGCTGAGGAGGCTGCTGCTGAAGTATCACCCCAAGCCCCATCAGGTGAACATGAGATTGGTGGCTTTGCTTCGCCTCGTCGCCATCATGAGGACGATGACTTTGTTCATGTCTCTCCTTATGTGGAACTTGTCACAAAGGTCATGGAAGGGCTCAAGGGAGATGCATTCCTCATGGCCAAGGACTTGGGATTGAATTCACTGATGGATGTCGGCCCTCCTACCGAACTGGAATTGCTGGTGGGAGAATCAAGGAGCATGTGTTTCCCTTGAGGTCACATGAAGCAAGGGAACTTTTCAGGCTTGGACAACAGGCCAGTGGCCCCCTCAGCCGTCAGTCTGCAGAGACAATTTTGTCTTTTATACGAAGACGAAAACGCTGGTGGATCCAACGCACAGAGCTAGACCCAAAAATGACGATATCCACTCAAATTGCGGGCTGAGTTTCTCCTTGGGACATCAAGCCTCACCCGTCAAGAGCAAGTCATGGTCAAGACTGGTTGCCCGAAACCAAGTTTCGAAGGATACAGGGAGATCCTACTGGAACACCATGGAAGAATCCATCCGAGGGATTCAAGCAACTTGGCCCCTCCTTCAAAGCACCTTCCAGCGAAAGGAGCAGGGAAAAACAAAGGAAAGGGGTGGTATCGACCGGCTTACTTTGCAGGTGACTATGATGGCCACACAGGAGGTGAAGCAGCAGGTGAAGGAGACAACTACGACTGGAATGAGGATTATGGTGAAGGAACCTATGTTGGTGGAGATGGACATGAAGATGAAGATGAGATGCAGCAAGAAGCCGTGTTCATGATCAACCCCGGTCATCATCACCAACCACTTCAGCAGGTGGATCGAGCGATGAGAGACGAGATTTTAGGATCTCTCGCCTTGGCCAGCTCTGATAGGGAACGATCACCACGCCGCCATGGCGTCCACGAAGGAGAAGGCGGACCCCGAGAAGTACGACTTCAGCAGAACAGAGAGGCCGAGGTCGGACGACCCACGATGCACGGGTCAGCTGCATAAGCCCGTGCGACCCGATAGTAGTGGACCTCTTCCACCATCTTGGCTACCTGCAAGCACATCTTGGCAGGATAGAAAGGAGTCATCCTTATGAGTGCCCCTCCTTCACATGGAACGTGAGGGTCTTGGCAATGACAGAGGCCCTGCATCCCCCACACTCGTTTGGGACGTGGTTGCCCTCAGTTTTCAGGGTTTCTTGATCAGTCCGCTGCATGGAGCTCGAAGTCCATATGAACATCCATCGACGTATGCCTCCTGGTGGTCCAGTTTGTTCCAGAAAACTTGGGTACATCCAAAGCGCCAGTTTTTGTTCTAGCGTGGCCATTCTTGAACAACTTCACCTCCTTGAGATTGATGAAGTTCTATCAGCGTCACGGCCTTGGCTGCGTTTGGACTGAGCAACCTTCTTCTCAATCTTCGCCTTGCCTTCAGGGTTGAGCTTGTTGAGTTCCTGAATGATTGAAGTTGGCCCACAAGGCAGTGACAGCCAAAGAACATTAGGCCGTTCATCCACAGCGTTTCAGCACAGTGAACTCCGGTAGTCATGTGCTAGGTCCCAGTGTTTCACGCTGAGACTGAATACTCGAGAAAAAAAACAAATCCACGATGAGGTTGTAGACCTTGTGGAAGCCACTCTTCTTGTTGAGGTCGCGCCCATTGAAAAGTCCACAACGAATGCCTCGTCCTTCTCTGGTTTCTACTGCTCAGGTGATTCCACTATCATCCTCACAGCGCCGTTCCAAAACTGTAGGGTTCTTATAGATAGGGGATCTGGCATTCAGTGAGACTAAGATCTCGTCCAGGACCTCGTTATACTGTGGCACCTCCTCAACCAAGAAGGCTGTCTTCTCAGGTTTCAGTTTGTCCGTCACAACCTCGTTCTCTTCAGCCTCATAGGCGCACTTCCTCTTCCTCCGAAGCATGTGTCCAGGTGGCAAAATGCCGCCAGGTGTGAAACTTGTTGATCGTCGCAGCTCCTCTGCGACCATTCCCCCACAATGTTGACCACCGTCGTGCTCGTAGAGGTCATAGTTGGTGGACGTCATCCCATTTGCCATAGGGTTCGATGAAGTCGAATTCCTTGCTGGTGGCACCGTTGCTGCTGTCTCCAGTTTCCCAAGCTTGGTCTCACCATGTTCAGCTCGGAGTGTTGCCTGGTGGCGATGACGCCACACTCCATTGGTCCTTCTCGTCCTGGCTGCCCCGTTGGTTGTATTCCAGGCTCTCCGCTGTTTCGTCCGCTCGGCGTGTCTTTCGGCCGGGCGTCTGATACATCTCCTCCTCGCAGTTGATCACTCCCCCGGTCTCCCTGGGCACGGCGCCTTGGGAAATTGTTGCCAAAGGGATTGAAGACTTGCCTTGGCGGCTAGGGGGTATTCACGGGACCTTCTTAGTTGGTCGTCGAAGTCCGACTGTACCCTTTGTGGGTTTGGAGATCTTTCTCGCGCTGGTTCTCGATCTATATCTGCCTTCTCTTGCTTGATCTTCTCCAGCTTGGCCTCCAAACATCTGTCCTGGGCGTCGTAGACAAAATTCTTGTTCTTGTGGGGCGCGCCCTTGGTCGGCGGTTTCTTCTCCTCCAGTTCAGTTTTCACGTCGCTCTTCAGCGGCCTGGCCTGTCTCGAAAGAGCATGTGCCCCGTATGCAGGGGTGTACGGGAGCCGTTAGACCTCAGATGTTCCCCACCGGCGGCCGTCGTCATTGACGCAAAGGCACTCTATGACCTGCTGATGCAGAAAGACATTCCGCACCTGGGAGCCCGTGACAAACACACAGCTCTTGAAGTGCTTGGACTTTCACAGCACCTCGAAGAGCAGGAGACGATCGTGAGATGGTGCAACTCGGATCAGCAGTTGATTATGTTGAGTGACGGCATGACGAAAATCAGTGCCTTTGAGAAGATCCTCAAATACCTCGAAGGAGGTCAGAGGTGGAGCGTGGTCTACGACCAGACCTTCACTTCTGTGAAGCCTGTGAAAGCAGCCAAAACGGCTGACGCAGATTTTCTGTACAGTGATCCCTGCTGGACGGACATTCTGTGGCAGACTGCGGGCCATGTGAGATTCTCAGGTTCAGGTACTGAGGTCAGTCAGCCACAGCATGTCATTCCGGGTGCAATGTCAGGTTGTTGCGACTCTGCAACATGACTGCTCAGGGATCCCTTTAGCCAACAGCGGCACTTGAAAGTGTAGGCCTTCTGAAGGCCTTTACTGGGCGCTACGCCCATTGCCATCTGCGGAAAACCGCGTCGCTGTGCAGCCGCTACTTTGGTTGGAAACCGAGAAGTGTAACAAGTATCAAGTGCCTGCACCAAGGGCTGCCTCATGCTGCCTCACATCCAAGGACCCCCCCCTCCGCTTGGAGACCACCAGCGCAAAGGAGATCACGCTCAGCACGATTGCAAGGATGGTTTCACCGGCTATGAGAGCTGAGGGATGGAGCGTCAGCATCTATGACTACATCGACCGAAGCTGGACAGTGGATGGGACCTACCCCTGTGGTGATGAGTTGGGATACCATCATGAATCCACAGATGGGATCCCGGTGTATGCTCCTACGAGGGAAGCTGAGGCATCATCTCCCCATGGGCCTGGTGAGCCTGGAGACGCCGAGGATGGAAACGGCGGTGAGGATGCGCCTGGTGATGATCAGAATCAGGAGGAATAGAAGGACGATGATGTTGAAGAGATCACTGACGAGGACAGCACGCGCCTTGCTTTTGAAGCAGAGTTGGAAACAACGGAGAACCAAGAAACCATGGATGTGGTTGAGGAAATTCCCACTGCACATGCTGCAGTGACTGCCCCAAAGGAGGAACAAGGTGATTATCCCCTTGAACAGAAGACCCCTGAACTTAAGGCTTTGGGAGTTACTGAGGGAGAAACCGCTGAAAAGGTCGGAATGCCTGGAACGTTCACCAAGGCCGTGACACCGATGCATCCCAACAAGTACATCGATCTGGCCAGTGACGATGATGATCCAAGCGGTGTTGCTGGATTTGAGACAACAACAACAACAACAACAACAACAACAACAACAACTGCTGTGAAGCTGGAGGTGGAAACAGAGTCCCAGGCATGTGCGTTGTTGGGAGCCCTGATGTCCACAGAGTCAAGGGTAATGGACAAAAAGGACAAATGTGTAGTGACTTCAGGGTTGAAGATCATGCAGCATGAGGATGATGTCGTGAAAGCCATGGTAGGAGCAACTCACTTGTCAGAGTCGGTCCACATGTTGGTCTTAAAGGATCCCCTGGTCAACTTGTCCAATTGGAATGGCGTGCATGGCATGGTCATACAGCAGGTTCCAGTTGGGAAGACACATGCAAGAAGTTTGCAGCCAGGGTCTCATCACAATGCCCTGGACTGGTTGCAGTATATATGGAAAACCCCACGGGCCCCACTTGGAATCAGATCCAAGACATCCACTGTGAGTTAGACATGAACCAATTCACGGTTATGGTTTTCACCCCATACCTGGAAAACTTGGTTGACAAGAGCACTTGCTTTGGGGGTGATTTGTGCCTGTTCGTTGTAGGAGACCGTGATGATGCCTTGAGCAGGCTGGCCATGGAGTGGAACGATGGTCAAGTGTCCATGACACCAAGGACGTTTCAAGATGCACGTGGCATGGAGTTTCATGAGTTGTTGAAGGGTGATTCAGAGAAGCTTTGGCTAGACAGGTGTGCCCAGACGTGTTTTGTGGGTGAAGTTGTGGATGAGCTGTCTGGATCTGATGGCCAGATGGTGGGGATCCTGACAGGCCTCTGACCCTTGCAGAAAATGAACAACTCATACTGGATCAACTTGCAATCCCTGGAGCCCCATTGGATGAAGCCCAGAGGAGAGCCCAGTGGAGAGCATTGCCCACACGCACTAGGATTGCCATCCGACGCCTGCACAGGCAACTTGGCCACCCAACACCGGCCACGCTGAAGAATATCCTAAAGGCAGGAAGAGCGCCACCAGAGCTGATTGAGGCAGCTCGTTTGGTGAGGTGCCAGGCGTGTGAGGATTCAGCAAAACCCCCAAGGGATCACCCAGTAGGAAGTCGTTTCAACTATGAGTTCAACATAGTTCAACTCTATGTTGGGTTTTGACGTGCTGGAGATGAGAGATCATGTAGGGGGGAAGTACTCAGTGATGTCAATGGTTGACATAGCCACAGGGTTTCACACGTGATTGTGAAAGAAGGTGGAGGACAGCCCACTTCAGAGGCATGTGCCAAGGCACTGATGACTAAGTGGATTGCGTGGGCTGGCTGGCCACGTGCATGCATCATGGACTGAGGCTTGCACAACAGAGGTGCAGTAGCCAAGATGTTGTCAAGCCATGGATGCAACATCGAGTTTGCCCCTCTGGAAACTCCAGCAGCAATAGGGAAAGTTGAACGTCATGGTGGAATTCTGAAAGCGATGGTCAGGAAGGTGACTGCCGATACCGAGACGGCAGGACTTGCAGACTTTGAGATGCTGCTGCAAGAATGCACATCCACGAAGAACAACATGCAGAGAACAAACGGTTACAGTGCAAGTCAATGGGTCTTGGGAAAGCAGCCACGCATGCCAGGCTCAGTCACAGACATGTCAGAGAGCGCTGACTTGGGTGTGATTGAAGCAAAGACTGACCCCAATGTAGCCTACCACAAGGTACACGCTAGAAGGATGAGTGCGCAGAGAGCCTTTGTCCATCTGGACACAAGCAACAGGCTTGCACGTGTTTTGACATGCAATGCAGCACCCCAACACAAGGAGTATGCTGTTGGAGATTTGGTCTGCTACAGGAGGGACGCACGGCAAGGTGGCACAACATGGAGCACAGCATCCCATGTGATTGGCCATGACCCCCACAAAGGGTTGTGGTTGTTGCACGAGGGGGTTCCAATTTTGTGCAGTACATCACGTGTGAGGTCTGCCAATGAGAGTGAGGCCTTAGCCTTCTCCATCTTGAATGGGGAACCTGTGCTGCCAGATGCCATTGTGTCAGGCCCTCAGCAGCAGAAGTACATCCATCTTGAAGATGAACAACAAGGACCAAAGTTTCCAAATCCGATTGGAATCTTTGATGGTGATTTGGATGCCCCTCACAAAAGCAGTGCGCCATCAAGAGCTCCAGGAACACCTGGAGCAAGGAAGCAGGCCAGAGATAAGACGGGCAGAACTGAACGATCTGCTCCGTACACCAGGGTGGCACCAACTACCCCTGGGGCACTGCCAGGTGACACGATGCTGGCTGAAATGGTGGATGGAGCTGGCGTGTTGCAAAGGATGTTGCAATCAGAGTCCACGCAGAGCCCAGGAAAAGTGAGTACAACACGATGATCGATGGTGATTTGCCAGATGGGTTTCAGGACGGGTTTGCAACAGTAAGGAAAACCCTCAGGAATGGGAATGTAAAAACAAACGAAACGGGTAAGCTAAGTAACGTAGAAGAAACAGACACTTGCACCGGTTTCACTGTCTTTCGAAGGGCACAAGACCCATTCGACCGCGTGCGAGCCATGGATCTGGAACTGGACTTGGAGCCACTAAGGTCTTTCATTGCGCAGCGCATCGTGGAGGCCGAGGGGGCAGTTCAATCTGGGAAGACATCAGAAAGGCCTCACCAGAGATTCGAACTGCTGAGTGGGAGAAGTACAAAAGCTTCAACGCTCCAATTCCCATGTGGGGAAAGGAGCTTCAAAATCTACTGGATGAGGGCCACAAAGTTATTCCGTCAAAGTGGGTTGAAACAGACAAACATGAACACCTAAAGAGAACCCCAGAATATAGTCCCAAGATGAGAGCTCGTTTGGTGATTTGCGGTAACTGCGAAGATGTGAGCCGAGAAGATGTGAGATGCGATGCTCCGACAGCAGATGACGAGTCACACTGCCTCCTGGCGAGCTGGGCTGCTTCGGAGAGGTTACGTCTGAAAGGAAGCGACGTGACCAATGCGTATTTCCAAGCAAAGCCACTGACACGGCTGCTACTGATGCGGCAGCCAACCGGTGGACTTGGTGACCCGGACGTGCCTGCAGAAGCGTGTCTGCTCTGCAGGGCCCCCATCTACGGTTCAATTGATACAGGTAGAGGTTTCTACTTGCGCATGGATATAGAAGTGAAGACAGCAGGTATGAAGGTGTCAAAGGTGATGCCTGCCCTGTACTACCATCAAGACGAAAACGGTGAACTGGATGCCATGCTATGCACCCATGTGGATGACCTACTGTTTGCCCACAAGCCAAGTGGAGCAAAGGTGGTCCAGGAGATCCTTGGAAAATTCATGAAAATTCTCTCAGTCGGAAAGACTGAAGAAGGAAGCTTCCGATACTGTGACTTCTCTGTGTAAAAGTTCTTCTGCGTACAGACTTCTCCGTGTAAGAGCTTCTGTGCGTAAACGCGTCTGTGTGTGTGTAAAATTTCCTCTGTTTAGAGACTTCTCTGTGCAAAAGCCCCTCCGTGTGTAAAAGCTCCTTTGTGTAAAGACTTGCCTGTGTAAAAGCTTGTGTGTACAGGCTTCTCCGTGAAAGCTTCTATGTATAAACGTGTCTCTGTGTAAAAGCTCCTTTGTGCAAAGACCTCTCTGTGCAGCTTTTCTCCTGCGGCCCTGCCGTTCTCCATGGCAAGTTTTAAATTTTGATCAAGAAGCTAGCAGCTTCTTTGAGCAGCTTGATCGCAAAAACAAGACGAGCAGGAGATGTCCAAGTTGAGGCTATTTTGCAGCCAAAGCAAGCTTCAGCGCACAGTTTTGCATAAATCTTGTGTAGCAGCTTTCTTTGCATGTTTTGAAGCCGGATGAATTGACTATGCAGACACAAGCTTGGCATCACTTTGCTTGACGTAAGTTCGACACCGGCACTCAAGGCCGCGCTCAACCCGAATCCTGCTCTGTGAAATTGGGGCAGGCATTGAGCTAAAGTAGCAGCTAAATCGGTGTTCTAGGGGCATAGAGGCCTGCTTTGGGGATGGTGGGGTAGCTCATCCTGGCGGTCCAGTGGTCCAGCCGTCCAGATTGTGAAGCCTTAGCTTCCATCAGCTTTCTGGGGAAAAATTGCTCAGGGAGTGCAGGCCGTGAGTTGCATCCATCTCGTGTTGCAACTTGATCAACTTGACACCAGCACCATTTAACATTTCATTTTTGCCATTAAACTTCCTGGCGGCTCAGGTCTTGGCGCAATCGGATGGCGCGTCTGCAAGGCAGAAAAAAAGAGCAGCGGTTTGAAATATACCCAAATCCCTTAATGTATGTCGGCACCGTTGAATTGCCAGCCCAGATCAGCCCAGATGAAATCCTGGGTAGCTGTAGGAATTGGAAGTCTTGGTGGGCGGCTTCGCCCAGCCTTTTTCTAGCCCAGATTTCTGATGATTTCTTGAGTTTTTATGTGCGAACGAACCTTCGTGTGTTCAGTATTATCGGTTGCTTTCCATTAACTGTATCCCGTGTTTTTGAACATTTTGCAATCGAAATTATTGAATATCGGAGAAAAACGAGGGAACACCAGTGGCAAGTGCGATTTGTATATATTTTTTTGTTCAAGGCTCCAGTGGCCTTCCTACAGCCCTTTCCGGCCGCTGAATTCTGCGAATTTCATTTCTTCATGGCAGGGGCATCCCAATGGTAGCCGTGGGGGTTTGCCCGCGTTGTTTCGTGCTGTGGGTTTGCATTTTGGGCCACGGCCACAGCCAAATTTATCTTGTTTCGGCCGAACGACCTGCAATTCGAGCCACGGGCGCTCTCCAGGTGGAAGTCGCTCGACTATGTTTACTGGCTGCGGGAAAATGAACATAATTGGGCACACTTGGGGGCACAACATGTATAAAAGATGCACATGTGTTGTAGTTGTTGCACATCTTGCATCTCAACCCAGCTTCTGTGCAGGAAATTGGAAAAGAAGAACACCTTCCACAAACACCGTTCACGGAAGCGCCGTACCACCATACAGGACCAAACTGCACAGATGCATGACCATTTGGACAACATGAATCCCGTGGATACGGTGGGAATCATATATACATATATATACTATATACTATATACGCGTTTTCTGGTTAACCTCGTTTGAAACGCACCTTATCATTGTCATTGCTAGTTTCCCGTCCTTTCCTCTTCAGGACATGAAGATCAATCGCCTTGCAACCGTCGCATGGCATTCAGTTGTTTTGCTAATGGCCGGGATGGGCCAGGGCAGAGATTTAAGCATTGTTTTTGGAAATGGAAAGGCGCTGCGCTGGTTTTAGTATACATATATAATCATATGTAGTTGTGAATGGCAGTTCCTGATAACATGTACTGGTATGATGAGCGGTCTCATCAGCCCGCAAGGCAACAGCAATTGAACTGTTTTGAAGACACATGTTGGGAATTGGTACAATCATGGGGATCAGTTTCCAGTATCATCAAAGAATCCTTAAGCAGGTTTATAATTTGATTAATTTGGGTGATACTATGCACATGTTTGTTTCCTTTATCGCATATATAATGTGTTGATATGTTCTTACTTGCATGCATGCTACATGCTCGCAAACAGACAAAAAAACATACAGAACCATGCAGATAGATATATAGACAGACAGACAGACGGACGGACGGACGGACAGACGGACAGACGGTGACCGACGAACAGTATGTGTATGTGTATGCATTTGTGTTTTTCCCCACAACTTTGTGTGGGGTTCTTGTTTTTGATTCTGTATCCCGAGCCTCCTCCTCCTCCGTCCGCCCGCCTCCGCCTATCACAACTCTGTCACATACCAACACACAACTTTGTCACATACCATCTGTCACATACATGACTTCACACACACCTTCGTCACATACCATCTTACACATTGTCACACATACAATAACTTCACACACACAAACTTAACACACAACTTTATCAGTTACCATCTGTCACATACATAAACTTAACACACAACTTTGTCACATACCATCTGTCACATACATAACTTAACACACAACTTTGTCACATACCATCTGTCACACTTTGTCACATACCATCTGTCACATACATAACTTAACACACAACTTTGTCACATACCATCTGTCACATACATAACTTCGATTAACTTCGCACACACCTTCGTCACATACCATCTTACACATTGTCACACATACAATAACTTCACACACACACAAACTTAACACACAACTTTGTCACATACCATCTTCACACAGGCACTTTGCGTGGATTGTGCCACGCCTGCCACGTGGAACGCACGTAGATGTCACCAAGTGCCACGCCTGCCACGCAAAGTGCCGCGGCGTCACCGGCGCCTAAAACCAGCCCAAGCGCGCCACCCAGTGCCATGAGTGCCACGCTTGCCACGCAAAACGACGGTGGATGTGAGATTGCGCCACGCCTGCCATGTGAAACGCACGTAGATGTCACCCAGTGCCACGCCTGCCACGCAAAGTGCCGCGGCGACGCAAAACGACCGTGGATGTGAGATTGTGCCACGCCTGCCACGTGAAACCAAGGTGGATGTCACCAAGTGCCACGCCTGCCACGCAAAGTGCCGCGGCGTCACGCGCGACCAAGCGGGCCCAAGCGCGCCACCCAGTGCCATGAGTGCCACGCCTGCCACGCAAAACGACCGTGGATGTGAGATGTGCCACGCCTGCCACGCAAAGTGCCGCGGCGTCACCGGCGCCTAAAACCAGCCCAAGCGCGCCACCAAGTGCCATGAGTGCCACGCCTGCCACGCAAAACCAAGGTGGCACAATCTCACATCCACGGTAGTGGCAGGCGTCGCACTTGGTGACATCCACCTTGGTTTCACGTGGCAGGCGTGGCACAATCTCACATCCACGGTCGTTTGCCAGGCGTGGCACTGGGTGACATCTACGTGCGTTTCACGTGGCAGGTGTGCTACAATCTCACATCCACGGTCGTTTTGCGTGGCAGGCGTGGCACTCATGGCACTGGGGCGCGCTTGGGCCCGCTTGGTCGCGCGTGACGCCGCGGCACTTTGCGTGGCAGGCGTGGCACTTGGTGACATCCACCTTGGTTTCACGTGGCAGGCGTGGCACAATCTCACATCCACGGTCGTTTTGCGTCGCCGAGGCACTTTGCGTGGCAGGCGTGGCACTTGGTGACATCTACGTGCGTTTCACGTGGCAGGCGTAGCGCAATCTCACATCCACGGTCGTTTTGCGTGGCTTTTGCGTGGCACTCATGGCACTGGGTGGCGCGCTTGGGCCCGCTTGGTCGCGCGTGACGCCGCGGCACTTTGCGTGGCAGGCGTGGCACCTGGTGACATCCACCTTGGTTTCACGTGGCAGGCGTGGCACAATCTCACATCCACGGTCGTTTTGCGTGGCAGGCGTGGCACTCATGGCACTGGGTGGCGTGGAGACATCCACCTTCGTTTTGCGTGGCAGGCGTGGCCCTTGTGGCATTGGGCTGGCTGTGGTGTCACACGCCATCTTTGTCACACACCATCTTTCACACACTCTGTCACACACCATCTTTCACACACCATCTTTGATACACCCTCTTTCAAGACTCTTTCACACACCATCTTCGTCACACAACATCTTTCACACACCCTCTTTCACACCCAACTTTGTCACACACCATCTTTGATACACCATCTTTCACACACCACATTGTCACCCACCATCTTTGTTTTACTTCTCGGTCCTCCACCACCTCCTTTGTCTTTCCTTATTGGCAGAAGTTGTCTTGTGGGGCTATCTGGTCCTTTAATTGAAGTGCTCAAAATGATGATGCTACAAAAAACGGTTTTGTTTGTGGCAAGAAGCCAGGTTGCATTGTGTAGGGGTTGTTTTGGGGTTGTGAACAGGGTTTTGTAGTTCAAAGATGGGCGCGCAAAGTTCTGTAGCTATCTGTAGCTGTAGCTAAAATGGCTGGACGGGTGTTATAGGGTAATTTCAGGCTACTTATAGTCTATTGGTCGTGACTCCTCAATTTTATAGTAGCGTAACATCATCCACAGACTCCATGGACCTAAATTCTCAATTTTCTAGCGGTGTAACGTCAACCATGGACGCAACTTCTCAATTTTATGGTAACGAAACATATCGAAACATCAACCATAGACGTAACTTCTCAGCTTTCTAGTAGTCTAAGACTAAGATAAACCGTGAACGTAACTTCGCAGTTTTCTGCTACCGTACGTATTTTTTAAGTTTGTGCTAGCGGAGAGTAGCATCAAGAAATTGTTGGAAAATGATATTCGTATTAGTTGAAAGAACGTAGCATTTGCCAAAAAAAGCGAGGCGACATAACGTTTTTGCATCCCCTCCATCCCCCCAACCCCACTTCCCACTTCTGAAACATTGTCACATTGGCGAGACGGCAAACACTCTGCCAACACAAACATGCATGCTGCATACGTGCATACATGCAGCACATGATTACACATGACATGCAATTCACATGCATAATCATGCACATTATATACATATGCATATGCATTTGTATATGATTTGTTTACGTGTACGCATGTGTGTATTTACATTTATGTTTATCGGATTTGTTCAAAGATATTGTGACAAAATATCCACGATCGAAAACCAAATTTGACAAACATCAGCCCTTGTCGAGGCACAGTGGAAAGACATGCTGCGTGGGCGGTGTTACGCAGCTGGGGTCTTTCTTCTTATGTACACTTTCAAGGACAGTGTCTTGGTGAAGGGATGGAAGATCAAACACCCAGAAGATGAACACATTGCTCCAATCCCTCTGAATCGGAAAAGGGTCAACATTGAGATCAGCAAAGTGTTCCCCCATCTTGCTCTGGCACATGTTGAGTTCATGTTGATTCGCTCATCTAATTCAAACCTCTTGATTTCCGTGAGCGCAGGAGATCATTGTGACTGGTTTGGCATGATGTGCCAGGGAGGATGCGTGGTGGCGATCCAGATTTCCAATCCGGACACCCGGGATGGTGGAAGAAGTGTTGAGTGAGGAAATGTTCTGATATAAACAGTGATGTGGATCAAGTTCTCGTTCTGATGTTACAGTTTGTAACTGGTGGGAATACAATGCGTTGCCATACCCTGCTCCTCCCTGAATCCCTGCCCAATTTGTTCAGATTTCTTGAAACGTTTTGAAATAACATGTCATTTTTTGTCACTAACTATTTTGTTCAATCATCTTCAATTCCCTCAGAAAACCTTCTTTTTTTCATAACCTGCAGGAGGTGCGCGGGACCTTGCCTGCAGCATTGGCCAACTTCATCCATTTGAGCAGTCTTCACCTGGCTTCAACCAAGATCTCGGGCGACTCATCCAGGTTTATTGATCATCGCAACATATCGCAACCCATTTCATAAGTATCCATTAACCAACCTATTTGATGGGCTGGGATAGCGGATTTTTGGTTTTTCCATGGTTCATTTCTGGACTGCTGGTTCCCAGCGCAGTGTCATTTCGTCCATCGCAGTTCATCAACCAATTGCATTTCAATCAACCGGAGTCGTAACTATTTGTATGGCGCCTCAAGTACCTCAAGTGTCCTAGTTCTGGTATGTTTTGGTAGTACCCAGTACCCAGGTCACCCCCGTCCCAAGGCAAGTTGAAGATCATCGCGTCCATGAAGAATCTGCAGCACTTGGACCTCAGTGGAACAGAGGTCGCTGGCGATATCCAAGCTTTACAGGAAGTGCAAAAGTTGCAGCACATCAATCTGCACTCTACTCGTGTGGCAGGTGCAGCAGCGAATCGGCCCCCTCAAAGATTCGCGCATGTTTGGGATTGTTTTTGTACGTATGTATATATTATATATCTATATATATATATTACACATACATGACTCATACTACATGCCCTGAATTTACAAGTTTATATATTCATATACCCTCTTGTTATTTAACATAATCATGGAAAATCACCATTTTTAATAGGTAAACCATCTATAAATGTGCCATTTTCCATGGCTATGTTAAATAACCAGAGGGTATATTCTAATATTTTAACTTATTTTAACATCATTTGATTTTCCATTATTAACTGGGATGACCAACGCATTTGTCTACTACGCAAGCGGGTTGAGACCACCAACAAGTCTTGGTTCAGGGCCCAGAGATGCCTGGATCAGGAACCTTTCAGATGATATGTTCAGGTCATTCGGGTTCCCCCCCCCAAAAAAAAAACAACAACCCCTACACGGCCATGGTTCATCACTTCCCCCCTTAAAAAAAAAAGAAACGAAAATGGCCACACATCGGACCCCCATTTTGAATGCCGGTGCTTCAAGTGGAGGTGATATCCAGGTCTTCCAGGCCTTGGTTCAGCTGAAGTCCCTGGACCTTGGCAACACCCAGGTGGTTGGAGACATCCAGGCCTTCCAGGCCACACAGAGCCTGGATTCTCTCCGCTTGGTGGCCACCCAAGTGTCAGGCGAGGGGCTGGCCTGGTGGAAAAAAGATGGAAACTGCATGAAGCCAAAATCCCAAAACAATGTGGAACATGAATAATGAATGAACATGATACAGCATGTTGCTTTCCATAAGGAAATGTTCTCGAGTTTCATGCTAGCTTTGATGTGCATACTGGCTGATGAATTATGACGAATCCCATCCCAGTTGCTTTGGACACCTCGCAGGCGATATCAGTGCTTTCAAAGCTACGAAGGATTTGACGGTGCTCAACTTGGATTTAACCCACATCTTTGGAGATGTGCAGGTCTTTCAGGCAACCAAGTCCTTGATGGAGCTGAGTTTGAAGTCCACCGATGTCACAGGAGCTGTCATATTTGCTGAAAATTTAGTGGTATAAATCCTCCTTGCGGTCCAGGAAACACTGATTTTGGTGAACTTTGGTATCAAAGATGATCAATATATGGTAGTCGATCTAAAATCTAAAGGTCCATGTAAGGAGTTTTAATTGCGAAAGCCGTGCATGTTATGTTGGAAACCCTCGCAAATGTTTTTTCGAGTTCGCGAAAGTAGCATTTTTTTCGCGAAAGTTGGACTTCATGATTGCCTAACATAGGTTCCGCGAAAGATAAACATGGAATTCGCGAAAGTTTCGCGAAAGTAACATTTTTATTCGCGAAGAATGGCCGTTCCCGGATAAAGGAATTTTGATCAACAACCATATATATATATATATGTGTGTGTATGTACATAATGTTATCAATTATATAAAAGTTTATATAAAATGATCAACCCATTTCATTGTGGGGTCTTCACTGGTCACTCGTCTCACCGCAGCACGTTGCGGATTCGGGATCCGAGAGTTTGCCAGGTATAATCAAAATGCCTGGGAGTGTTTTTGGGAGTGGTTCGGACTGTTATCGGACCAAAATTTCACGGAGGTGGTATGCTACCCTGATACCTCACTCCAGTCTTCATTCAGCTAGGCTAGATGCTGCACCGCAAGCAAGCTTCCCAAGCATCTCAGCAGTGAGCTACGTTTTGTTTGTAACATGAGGGGCTTATCTACAGGTTAAACCGGACGTTGCTTTTGGTGTGGTTTTACCTGACTGGCGTAAGGATTGCGCAGGATTGGCGTGGGCATTTGTCGTTCCGAATATCTTCTGGTTCGCAGCAACAATTTCATTGTATTTTCAGTGGTACATGATCGGTGTTGGAATCTCATGGATTTGATTTTCCTTATTCAGTTTTATCCAAAAACAATGGCCCAAAAGGTAGCTTCATTCCTGGATAGTGGTTTATAACTTGGATTCAGCACAAACATATACTGAATTTGGGATGTGATTTTTTACCAAGAACCAGTTCAACAGAATGAGATTGGCGTAGACAGTGGCATAGGCAGAACAGGAGTATAAGGGCCCATGCAGCCCAAAAAAAAGCTCAAGTGATTCCGGGTATATTTCAGGACCTGCTCATCCCACAGCCATCCGTCCCTAGATCCATGGCCATTCTTGGCACAGGAGATATCAAAGTCTTTGAAAACACCAATGGCTTGGAATACTTTGACCTGGCCTCGACCAAAGTCACCGGGGACATCCAAGTTCTGAACACGACGGGTCAGCTGAAAGTGGTACACCTGCCGAACACAAGGGTTCATGGGGACATTGCCGTCTTCAGCTCAACTGATCCTTGACATACAATGATGCGTAGGATGCAAGCTCATGTAGTATAATAATATTAATATGGTTGCGTTGTTATGTAATGTTATGTCGCGAAGTGCAGTGCAAACTCCTACCGTTTCCACAGTGTCAGGTGACAACTTCTCAATGTACGGGAACTGGGACTAACCAATGCCAAGTAAGCAAGTAGGGTTGTAAAGATGTGAACGAAGGGAATCACTTCAAACCCCAACACTTCACTTTGATGTTGGTATTTGCATGTTGTGTTTTTGACTGTTGCCCACCTTGTTCACTGTAGTAAGCAGACTTTTCTCCAGCGGAATAAATTTTACAAGAGTTGTAAGAGAAAGAGCCATCTCCTAAAATCAAGACTTTCCATGAGCAGCAAGTCAGGATACTAGCGAGCTCACTTCGTTGAGCATGGGGAACAGTGCAGTGTTTGGGAATATTTCAGCGCTGAAGTCTGCCGACAAGCTTTCCGAGGTGGTTTTGAGTTCAGTTTGGTGGGTTCTCAGTAGTCATCCACATCATCACCGTGAGCAGCAACAGGAACATAACAACCATCTTAGTCATAATCATAAATTGCAGTCACTCCGATGATGATCGTCAGAATCGTCGTCATCATCTTTATTTTCATGATAATCACCATCGTTATCGTCATGATGGTGGTCATCCTCGTCGTCGTCATCATTATTTCCATCTCTGCCATTCGAATACAAGGTCATCCACGATCTACAGTTCTACAGGCTACAGGTATCAAATGGTATCACACTAGGCGCATTAGGCGCTCTGCCTGCGCATGGAGAGGGATCAAGCTGTGCCGGCTGTGCTTGTAGTCATTTGCCGCAACCTGTGTGGAGGTCGTCTTTGCTTCAACGCAAGTGGGTGGGGACATCCGGGTCTTCGAGAGCAAACCTGGCTTGCTAGCTGTAATTTGTTCCTCAACGCAGGTCACAGGTGACGTTCAAGTCTTCGAAAACAAGGAGTTGGGGGCGCACCATTGGCCCACATTAATTGATTCATATGTATTTGTTATATTTTGTTTTTATAATGTTTCATTGCGCACGTTCGCCCATACAAGTGTACATCTCATTATGCAATAAGGTGCGAGTACATGCAAGTATTTACTGTCATGGGAGAGGGATACTTAATGATACTTATAGGTAGGGGAAAATCAAGGTAAGCCACAGCGCGCTCAGGTGTGTATTCAGATCATTGAATGTTATTTGTAGATTCATTATGATTCATTTAGAATAATTTTTAGAATTTGTTTAGAATAATCTTGAGAAAGATTATGAATTAATATGAATTATTTAGATATATTTAGATACAGTCTTGGCAGCAGCCCATCCAAATAATGAACCCAGCTCCGCCTTGGAGCGCCGTGCCATCTCCAGGAGCGTTTGATGTTCCTGGACTTGTCATTTACCCAAGTGACGGGAGATGTCAAGGTTTTCGTTGGCAATCAGCAGTTGCAGATCCTGAAACTCGCCTCCGCCCCTGTGTTTCTGGGCACAGCTTTGGGGTAGATCATGGGGACACTGTGCGCAGATAGCGCAATAGACTTTATTTCCTTTTTTTTCTCTTTGGCGTGAATGCGTTGAGATGTGTGGAGCGTTTCAATTCAACCCCTGCGCTTGGACCTCCAGTTAGTTGTCCCAGAATTGGATGAGGAACATATGCAGGACACCCTTGCTCATCACGGTCAAACGAAACAATTGTTTGCTGCAATTTACGGCTGAAATCTAGCCAACGAAATCTGCCACCACACTCTTGTTCAGCTTCAGCAGGGGGCTTTACGCAAGGGACTCTTCGACCACATGTTCAATTACCGCAACGGGGTGTGGCACTAGACAGCTATGAGCGGATGGGCTGCCAGTTGCATGTGAAAATCTTGGCAATTTTCACGCATTCCAAGTGACCCTGACATCACGATAATCACGGTTTTCATGTTTTCCTTTCACGCAAAAATCACGTTTTTTTTGACGCGCTTTTCACGTTTTTTTGTTGACACAATTTGATTCTCATCGAAGTGTGATTGTAAACAATCGCTGATGATGCTCACAAGGAAAATGTGAACATGGCTGTATGGTTTGATATGTTGATTCCTCACCATTTTTACATAACAAAGGTGCGACTCACTTCCCTCCCTCCCTCCTTCCTTCACTCCTCGCGTCCTCCTTCTGCTAGCTCCTCGCCACTGTGGACACCAACAAACCCGGATCGCAGAGCAAGTGCCAACTCAAGTCGAGCAATCTCGCTCCAGAAGCTTATGGTGAGCTTTAGCTGAGTCTGGGGATGCACGGACCCGAACACATGCCAGAAAAAATGCCGGATCGGATATGAGAATATATGGCAAATAGAATGCCAGAAAGATTGCCAGATAAAATGTCAGAATATATGTCAGATAGAATGGCGGGGATCACTCGAAGAAAGTAATGAATATTATTTTGTGTATATATATATATGTGTGTGTGTGTTATCAATAGTCTGCATCTTGAGCCCTTCCCGAGTGAGCCGTTTAATGATGGACAGGGACGCACATGGAATGGAGGCATGATCAACCAGTCAGTGTTGAAAGTACTCTGTGAAAAGGCCATGGGAAACGAGCACTTTGCAAAGGTGCCACTTAAACTTAAACAAGAATTGGGAAGGTCAGGATTGGATTGGAGAGTCTTTGTGAATTTCTGAGGTTTGGGGACGTTGGCGTGCTGGCGACATCAGAACAAAATGGCTTCTCAGTGCTGGACCTATCCTTCACACAGGTGGTGAGAAACATTTGGGTCTTCCAAAATGCCTGGCACTTGAAGGAGCTCTATCTTGGAGGCATGGCATGGCTGGGCAAGTTGGGGTGGCAAATGCAGGGCTGATCAGCTGATCCTCAATTATTTTATGATATTTTATGATTATATACACATTGAATCTCTTGGCACTGCTCAGATCAGATCAGATCTATACAGTTGGTTGGGGTTCAAGTTGCCAGGTTGGGGGTTCAAGTTGCCAACTTGAGAAGTCATCCTTTCAGATTTGAATTGGCACCACAGGATCCCGCAGGGTGAGTCGTTTTTTTTCCTGCCGAGGCACCAAGGTCACTGGAAGCATCGAAGGCATCGTGAGTTGGAGCCAAGCTCAAGTGGTGGACCTCTCGGACACCTTGGTCACGGGACGACTCACCAAACGCTGGCGTGGCTGTTGTCGACACTTGCGGATCTTGAAACTGTCGGCCCGCGCCTCAAACGTCACACAGGCATACACAGGCCGTGTGAATTCAGAAACTGAAGGTGAAATTGGGAAAAGAAATGACTATCAAGAAAGTTACCCCTTATCACCAGTTTGTCTGACCTTTCTTTATATAATGATCTTCAATGCCCCATTGATATCCATTGATGGGATTGCCATTGCCGCAACCTGATCACCCCAGCGAAGCCCAGGGTAGTCGCGTTCAATTTGTTCCCAATGGTGATGACCTCATCAATCTCATGAACCTTCAGCAGCTGAAGAATCCTAACCTTGCCTTGTTGCCAGCCCTCACAACCCTCGAGGTCCTGAGTTTTGATCTGAAAATTCAAGAACACATACAGTAAGAGAACAGAAAGGTAAAGGCTGAAACACTATGAAATGTTTGTGTTTATATAGATTACATAGTCATTTTGACTTTGAGAGTCTATATTGATGTCATATGTGTATCCATCTACGTGTAACAGTTTGCATTTGAGGCCCTTGGGTCATACCTGCGGCTTCCCTGGCAGGTCTCTGGTTGCCGCTTGAACTGCCATTTGCAGGATTTGCTTTTGCCACTGGGCGCCTGTGAGCACGTGGGAACGATCAAAGCGGTGAAGAGCGGCTTGACGGGTGAGCTGCCGAATCTGGATCCCATGCCACCTACCATTGTGGAAACGGGAATCTTTTTGGCACAGCGAAGCAGCTTGGCCAGTTCTCTGGAATTCATCGACCTCTCAGGCAGGAAACAAGTGTTCGCGGATGATTGGTCTTATAGATTCTTACAGGGACATTCAAAGTTCATACGTTTTGTTGCATTGGAATTGAACATTAGTTGAACTTATATAGCTGTCGGTTTCCAAATAAATGGAGGTGCCCAACCCCGAAATTTATGGATGGTTTCGTGGAAAACCCATGAATCCCCCATATATTTGTCAATGGATGACTTGAGGGTACCCCCAGCATCCCCCAGCTGGCAGGCAACAACCTCAGCTACATTGCTGCAGTGCCTGGTGCTAGCCAGACCCTGGTACTGGCGGGGAACCAGCAGCCATTGCGTCTTGCAAAGGACGCGTTAAGAACCTCAGTGGCAAGTAGCTGAAGTTAAGCATTGCATTTGGCATTTTGGAGGAAAAAATAGGGAAACAATGCACAGATCTTGAGGTAACAACTTCATAAAGGCGTGGCATGAACTGTGTTTTCTTTGCGGAATTCATCAAACAGAAATGGGCCGACAGTTTTAGGATGTTTTAGGTATGTCCAGAGCGAGTCGCTTTTGCATCCCTACCCATACAAAACAATCAAAAACCAACCAAGCTGATTCAGAGTGGCATTCCAAAAACTTCCAACAAAATCAATTAAACTTCGCAACAAAACACCACCAACCTTCAAAGTCTTCATGATCAGTCAAGATCAGTCTTCAAGATCAGTCAGGATCAGTCAAGATCAGTCAAGATCCCTATCATCCTTTGATATCCTTTGTATTCTTTGGTGGCCAAGCCCAGGTAAAGCCCTGAAGCACGGTGTCTTCGTGGACCTCCGAGGCACCCAGCTGCATGACCAGACCAACCGCGAGGCGCAGATCTTGTTGCAGGAGAACGTCATGCGCAACACCTCCCAGAGGATCTACTCGCGCCCCGAAAGGGGCTACAGTTCCGTGGTAAAATAAAAAAAAAAAAGTTGCACAGGAGTCACATGGAGTCACATGAGCAATGCGGAGCATTCCATCAGGGATGGCAATTGGAGAATGATCCTGCAGGAGATCATGATGGATGTCATTGGAGTCACTGAAAAAATGTTTTTTAATTAATTAATCAATATTGTCAGTGCTACTTGCGGCGAATGGCGAATGAGACATTTCAAGATGTTTCAAGGGCACTCTTCTTGGAAGAGATTCTGTGTTCTAGATATCCCATGGCTGGGTCGTGTAACATGTGTAACTTCGGACTCAGACAATTCCATCACCACCGTTCTTCCCTGAGCTGATGCCAAGAATTTGCAATAGCATGCAATAGCCTTGGGGTCAATCCAGCAAGTTTTCACTGACATCTTTTCGCGTCGCATGTGTTAGTGATGTCACGTCGAGTCAGGTTGTTACGACCTTGACCGCAACAGCACCACCTTGCAAGTGTCCCCTCCAGACTTTCTACCAGATGAGTGGTGTGCATGCATGGCGGGGTGGCATGGTATGGGAACACGTTGCGCCTGGGACTTTCAAAGTCATGGCACCTTGGGACCTTGTGAGGCTCTAAGGCTCTAAGGCTTCACTCAGACAGCAACTGCAAGCCACACAAACTCACCACCCAGTCACCACCCTTTGCCAAGAAATAATATACAGAAATATCACAAATAGACAAGAAGAGATATTTCCCCATCATCACCAGAAATGCTATCATGAACTATCGTCATGATGTCGATGTGCTGATTCTCATGATAATCATTCATGATCAGCATCAGCAGTGAAGTCGTTGGCCCTGTTGTTAGCGATGAGATATTTGGGATGCTAAGTATTGAAGAATTTATATAAGACCAATGGTGACTTTTTGGGGACCTAGCTCGCCAGTCTCTGCCTCCATTGAACCTGCAAGGCACTAAATGTCCGGAGAACACCTTCAGCGAGGAGTTGAACACAGATACCTGCAAAGAGTGCCCTGTGAACACTACTACGGACAAGGATGGCTCTACATCAATGTGGGATTGCAAGTGTGAGGCCAGCTGTGGGCTTAGATTTATGTCCAACTTTCCCAGCAGGAATCATAGAGATCAGCTACATAATGCTATATAATGATTATATATGAGGCTATAATAGGCTACATGGAATATGGAATCATGGCCCAACTTCTTAAGGCCAGCCATTGAATCACCCCAGCAGCCACCTGCCAGGCTGGAGAGCTTCACGCCTTGAACGGCAGCCACCTCTGCGGCTGTCCCGAAGGCTTCGCCAGCTCGGGCGTCTCCTGCGTGAACTGCGCGGGGCTGCACTTGAACTGCTCAGACCGCTTTTCGGACGTGGCCTCGGCGGATCCAGACGCAGGTGGCTTGACAGATCTTGACAGATCTTGACAGATCTTGACATGACAAGACCTCGCTCAGAATGATAGCCGATGGATGCCGATGGTTCCAAAATAATCCAAAATAATCAATTAACAAGGTTTGTGCGCCCAATGGTGCCCGATTTTTTACACCGTATCCAGATATTTCGTTGCATTTGGACATTCATTTGGAAATTTTATGTTCATTGGCTTTGCCCCGGAAATATATAGGGAGTTTAGATGATTATGATGATTTGAAGGTGGTCGGATGAAGTTCGACATGTTATGTTCAACCCAGGTTTTGCTCGACTGGTGCTGAAGGCGGAGGAAGCGTATGAGTGCTTTCCCCCAGCGAAACTTCGCTGTCCAGGCGATGCATGAGATGAATCTTCAGAGCCTTGTGATGTCCAAGAGACAATTTGTGTGGAGACTTGAAGCCGTAGATATCAAAGATTACGAGCACTGCCAGGAAAAGGATTGGAAAAGGTTTGAATTTCAGGCTACTGGGCTTCCACCGTGACAGGTCGAAACGGCTCCGGACTTGGCTGCGCTCCCGGTGTCCCGGTGACGACTGACAGCTACTGGTAGATGTAGTAGATGTATGATCGAAGGGAGTTTAGAAGTCAAACTTCCGACAATATGGACAGATGGAAAAGCAGAGGTGGGAGAGTCAGAAAGCCGAAGAGAAGAGAAAGAGTGAGAAGAAAGAAGATGCAGGTGCGCGAAAAGGTAGGAAAGTCGCAAAACACTATGTTTTTCCAATGATTTGTGGCTCCGGAGGGTCGAAAAGTAGGCTCGCTAAAGCGGCGGGTGCGGAGCCATGTGGTCAGATGAGAGATGAAAAGTTGAACGCCGTTGTGGCGCGAAGCACATTTCCAAGTCAAAATGTACAAAACACACCAACGTCGGGACCACTTTTGGAAGTTGAGATGTCGAAAAAGTGCACGCCGTTGCGGCGCGAAGCACATTTCCAAGTCAAAATGCCCAAAACATCTCAGCTTCGGAGCACTTTTAGAAGTTGCGATGTCGAAAAAGTGCACGCCGTTGTGGCGCGAAGCACATTTCAAAGTCAAAAGTGTTAAAAACTGACGGCCCCCGAGCACTTTGGAAGTTGACATGTTAAAAAGTGATAACAAGTGCACGTCATTGTGGTGCGAAGCACATTTCGAAGTCAAAATGTTGAAAACACATAAAAACACCACATGTTCCGTCCACTTTTGGGCGTTCCGATGTCGTGCCGCGTGGCAGGCGCAAGGGATTGTGCACCTTGTCAAAAATGAGCAAAACGCAAGGGTTTTGTAGCAGTTTCAAAAACGATGGCACGCGTGGGACATTTGAACAGGATCTGGAAAGATCCATTTCGCGTGGCAGGCACGGTACAAGATTACACTAAATACACTCACTACATTGATTATATCCAATTACACTACACAAATTACACTACAACGACAACAACGACGATGACCAACAACAACAACAACAACAGCAACAGCAACCACTACCACTACCACTACCACTACTACCACGACGACGACGACTACTACTACAGTACTACAGCACTACAGTACTACAGTACTACAGTACTACAGTACTACAGTACTACAGTACTACTACTACTACTACTACTACTCCTGCTACTACTCCTACTACTACTACTACTACACTACTACTACAGGACTACTACTACAGTACTAGTACTACAGTACTAGTACTAGTACTAGTACTAGTACTACTACTACTACTACGACTACTACTACGACTACGACTACGACTACGACGACTACTACTACTACTACTACAGTACTACTACTACTACTACCACCACCACCACCACTACACTACTACTACTACTACTACTACACTACTCTACTACTACTACTACTACTACCACTGCTACTACTGCTAGTACTGCTACTCCTACTACTCCTACTACTACTACTCCTACTACTCCTACTACTACTACTACTTCTACTACTACTACTACTACCACTGCTACTACTGCTACTACTGCTAGTACTGCTACTCCTGCTACTCCTACTACTCCTACTACTCCTACTACTACTACTACTACTACTGCTACTACTACTACAGTACTACTACTACAGTACTACTACTACAGTACTACTACTACAGTACTACTACTACAGTACTACCACTACTACTACTACTACTTCTACTACTACTACTATTACTACTACTACTACTACACTACTACTACACTACTACTACTACCACCACCACCACCACTACTACACTACTACTACTACTACTACACTACTCTACTACTACTACTACTACTACACTACTACTACTACTACTACGACTACTACTACGACTACTACTACGACTACTACTACTACTACCACTACTACCACTACTACCACTACTACTACTACTATTTCTACTACTACTACTACTACACTACTACTACTACTACAGTACTACTACTAATACTACTACAGTACTACTACTACAGTACTACTACTACTACTACTACTACAGTACTACTACTACTACTACACTACTACTACTACTACTACAGTACTACTACTAATACTACTAATACTACTACAGTACTACTACTACTACTACTACTACTACAGTACTACTACTACTACTACACTACTACTACTA